TAAGTGCACATTCAGTTATCAGTGAAACATACAGATATCAAGTGTCCAGTAGACAAGAACGAAAGGATCGTGTGTGTCCTGAATGACAATTTAAAAAATGTGCTGACTTCAAATTTAACATATTTATTAAAGTATCACAAAATCACTAAACTATATACCAAATTGTAAACTATTTTTATGTAATAATCTGAATTTTACTGTTTGTGCATGTTCCTCCGCTACTAATTCTTAGTGGTTGATATATTTGTGTAAATAAACAAAAATTTAAATAACAAAGGTCTTTCATTTCACCCTCTATTATTAGAAACGACATGGAGTAATTCCGGTAGCGATTAAGGCCAAAGTTTATTTTAAAAGAAAGTGCTAAAGGTTCCATAGGTGTTTTTTAACTTAAACCCTGTATAAATATATACACAACTGATTGGTTTTTAATGACAAATTGATTATTATTTAGATGTAATAATTGTAAAGTACTTTTATCAACAGCAATTATGAATTTTTGTATAATTTAAATACTATTTAGTATTTACCAATTATAATCATTATTCTTCAAATTTGTTTTGTAAAACATTCCAATTTTGTCAGAAGAGAAAGGAATTATCTACTTTTTCTAAGAACAATGACAACTAAAGGCTTAACTAGATAATTAACTAAATTTCAATTAAAAAATAATAGATTGTAAATCATACAACAATAAATCTGACAGTGAATATTTCAATGGGCCACTATTACTGTATTACATTGTTGTATTTATATGTCGCATTTGTCAACTCTGTTGAGTAAAAAGATGTTTAAATTTTATTTACAATCAGCTTTTAAAAATCCTACAAGCTAAATTAAGAGTGCATTTTAGGATAACTAGTGTAATTAATATGCTTTCAGAGAGCAACAGGCTGCGATAAGATATATAAACCGAAAGTTTCAAAATTTCTCCATTTTAAATTCTGATTTTAGGAGAATTAAGAAAAGGGCAAATAAATATTACACTGGCAAGCATACAATGAGGGTAATTCGAAGTTATTTTAATTTTTTTTTCGGATGTTCCTAAACATTAACTGATTGCTTGGAAAAAGTTGTTTCCATTGACAAAAAAATTACCCTCATCCAAAATACCTTTATATAATCATCAACATAGTTTTTATTTCTGTGGTTTATCTGACGACTTCAAATTGTTTGCGTATTGTTCAACTTGTTTTTGTATATTATATTATAATTCTGCTGTTGGTAAGAATTATTTAGTCTTTAGAATTTCGGTCGGCGCGAAATGATGGTATAAGTTTCTTGAGTGTGCAACGAATATAGCGGCAGTTCGAAGAGACTAATCTGTACATTCGAAAATCTGGTTACGGACGAGTCAGTACTACAACATCTAGAGATGACTGAATCCAAAGATGATGAACAGCCACATTAGTAGAAATCATCGAGAATTATCAGAGTCAGAGAAGAATCAACCGAGTAAAATAAGTGAGTGGAGAGGTATGAGGCGACTTCATGCTGCTGAATTATCTTCGCGAACTAGAGCTTTTTACCAATAGAAAACGACATATTAGAATGGCTCGAAAGCCATATGAGTCAATGAGAAACAAGAAATTAAAGAAAACACTAAATAAATATTATTAGAAAAGAATTCAAGTCGAGAATCTACCTCTGTAATGAAAAGGGTGGCAACTTGCTTACCAATAAAGAGGATATTCCGTTAACAAGGGCTGGACACTTTCCGAGAGTTGCTGGCAGGGGAACCTACTAACAACGGAGAACTGGAGTAACGAAATGAGGAACATGTGGAACCCCTCTCTGTAGAAGTGAAAATATCTATTAAAAAAACTAAAAAACCACAAATTCCCAGACTACGATGACATTCTAAGACCGTCCGCACATGGGTCGACGCTCGAAGTGGTCGACTCGATTTCAATCGCGTAGGTCTCTCCCCACCGCCCAAGTTCCTTCGTTGTTGCATTGAGCTCCCCAGACGGGGCGTTTAGTGGTCGTCTAGAAATGCAAATCTCCTCGTCTTGTACGACTTTCGTCACATGCGATCGGTAGCGCACGAGAAAGTTCGAGTGAGGCGCACGTTTTCAGTCATGGGGATAAGATTATTGTATTTGCTTTCTTCGATTTTTATTGTTTTTTGCCCTAAAATAATTTTTTTAAGATCGACGAATATTATGTTCGTTAAATCAATATAAGGTTGAATGTTCGAATAAATGAACTTTGATGGTACACAAGGCAAATATCGAACACAGTATTTAATTAAATCTTGCCCAAGTACTTTCGATCACAAGATCATCTTCAGGGGCATTTCGTCAATTGTGGCCTATCCAGCAATAACCGAATGTCATAAATGTAAACTGGGACATAACAAATACACTAAACAAAGACAAACAAACACTTTAAAATTTAAATTGGAGAAGCTACATTTTTATATTATAGAAGCCGGAGGATATATTTATGAAGAAGAACCGGAAATAAATAGAAGGCTTATGCTGGCAAACAAAGCCTATTTCGCGATGGGCCACTTATTCAAATCGCGAGACGTACACCGGAAAACAAAACTCCGGGTATATAAAACAATAATCCGACCCATAGTAAGTTATGGGTGTGAAACATGGGTTATAACACAGAAATCTACCAATGCATTAGACGTGTTCGAAAGAAAAATATTGCGTAGAATACTGGGTCCAATAAAGGAAAATAACAACTGGCGAATTAGATATAATAACGAAATATACGAACAATACACTGAACCAACACTAGCACAATACACTAGACTGTAGAGATTACGATGGGCAGGGCATGTGGCCCGCATGCATGATAACAGAATCCCCAGAAAATTACTAAACGCAAGAATGCAAGGAAAAAGACCTGTTGGAAGACCAAAAAAGAGATGGGAAGACGAGGTAGATGAGGATGCCAAAAATCTCCTAAAAACGCGTTCATGGAAAAGAACAGCAGTAAATAGAGATGTTTGGAGAGGTTTAATGAAGGAGGCCAAGGCCCGGCTTGGGCTGTAGTGCCATTGGATGGATGGATGGTGAGATGATGAGCTATCTACTTAAAGTACTCCTTACTATCATTCACTCGCGCATATACACCACATAAATACCTAAGTGAAGTTCGATTTGGGCCCAGAGCAGGGTTCAGAACAAGGGAAGCACTTTTTGGTTTGTAAGTTGTAATAAAGAGAGCCGGGGATGTCAACTGCAATGTGTTTGCATGTTTCATCGATATCGAGAAGGCATTTAACAATGTACTATATGGGAAACCAATCGATATCCCAAAAACATCAGGACTGCATGGAAAGGATGGAAGACTAATCTCTAACTTATATCTCCAACAAAAAGCAACTATGCGATTCAAAAATGCACAGTTGGAAAAGGAGTTTAACATGGATGCACACTCACCAGTACTGTTTAACGTATAATTATGAATGGCTTACTCTGAAAATATCTTTAGAGAAGCCTTGGACGAATCAATGATAAGTCTTGGACGAATTGTAATGCGAATTACACTTTACATTTCTTTTGACGTTTCAATTTCCAATTATGAATGGATTAACCTGTCAATATTTACAATTTACTGAATTGTAAAAAGACTACTAAAAGGGGGGCAAAAGGAAGTCTCTTGAGATCGGTTACTGCAAAAAAAATTTATGAAAAAATTCCAGCAACAGCAGATTAAAAAGCCATGGTGTGGGTTCCGTTATGTGAATGACGCTTTGTAATCTGGAGCAATCCACATTTCTTAAGTTCCTTAAACCTTACGATCCAGTACACTATCATCAATGACATTAGAACTCTTAGTGATATTTGCTGCATTTACTATTTATTACCTTCCACTGTTCTGTACAACTATTTCCTACTATCACCCCCATATCTTCAGATCCTCTGTGACTGCAGATTTCCACCTTTTCAAGGCCACCCTGCAGCTTTTCTCTGATTCGGTCTTTCCCAAAACACATTTTTTATAAGTCTGCTGTTTCCATGAAAATAAAGAATATACTTATTGGATTTTTATATGTTTTAGAAGAACAAAAATTAAACTTGGATACAAAGTATAACTTAACTATCCTAAATCACTATCACCTATCAGGTCACTGTTCTAAACAGAAGAGAGTAGTTATACAATGTCAACCTGAATAGATGTGAGAAGAATAGGAAACATTTAAATAAAGCGTTTTAACAAAATGGTTATGTATCAAATGACAGCAAGTGATCAAAAAAGTCCAAAAAGAGTCAATCGCAATATGGAACAATGATAACCAAAACTTAATGCTCTCTAACCATGCTTTCAAAATGTTGCAGATCGAATCGGCAAAATATCATGTCAAGTTCAACTACAAACCAATTAAAATAATATAGGAACGTCTAAGATCGATCTTTTAAAATGTGGATATGGAGACGACTGCCTCGAATTGCTAGCCATACGAATGTTTCGGTTCTAGATGAAATTAAACTCAATTGGCGTCTCTCTAGTACTGTTTACTTTAGAATTTGAAAGTTCTTTGGCCATATCCATCGAAACGATCACAAAATGGAGCGGTTGGTGGACCAAGGAAAGCCTCAGGGTCAACGCCAACACTACAGATCTCCAGAGCGATGGGCGGACATTACGAAAAAGCTTCTCAAGAAACAGTACATGTAACAGATGACCGCGACCAGTTGAGAATATCATTAACCAAACTATCCTGGCTGCTGAACCACAACCCATCTGCTAAGATGTTAATGACTATGATGATGATCCACGGATGTTGAGAGAGGCTATTTGAATTGGAAATAAATAAAAATAGCAATATTAGTTAATATTGCTAACACTAAAAGTACATATTTTTAAATTGAAATCTATAAAAACATTACATTATCAGTATCTTGTAATTACATTGATCACGAATATTATCACAGCCTGTTTCCTTTTTTTGAAACATTTATCTATTAACTATACTCTACAAAAATTGTTAGTTGAATGCAAGTTTTTAAGAAAGTGTCAACCATATGTTTACTTACTTTTTTAGAGTGAGAATATGGAAACTGGAAATCGTCCTCTGGATACAAGACGTCAACTGTATGTGAATGTAGCAAACTGAGGATATAGCGAGTATAAACTACTGCATCGATACCACGTGCTTCCAACTGTTCATCTAGCCAATTAGAGACGGCCGAAGGCATTGACACCACTTGAGGGTACTTCATAATATGCTGCAAAATATAACACTCGCGAATTAATACTAGTGATTAGCTTTCTGCACCTGCTATACATAAATTAACCGCATTACCTTCTTTTTGGTAATACCAGTCATCTTTTCTATCCCTACCCACAACTTATATTCCTCGTGATTCTTATCACACATCCCCTTGGGAATAAAACACAATTTGCAAAAACCCTTTTATCTGACATTAGAATTTATAAACATTTCAAATTAGTTTAAGCTTACTTTCTACTAATCATTTTGACAGTTTGTCGTGATTTAAAAGTCACAATATTAATAACGTTTTTATGTTCATGTGATAGAATCCAAATAAAAAATTATAAAACTCTGTTGCAAAGAGCAGAGTTCGAAGACAAGAAAGCCGGTCAAAAAATAAAAGCAAGACAAAGATAACGGTAATAGACAGATGAGATGATAGAATTCAACCACTTAGGTTGTTACTAGAACTTGGGAAAAAGAGGATCGAAGACGAATTGATATGGCCAAAAATGCGTTGCTTAAAAAATATATTAAAATATGTATCTATCTTTCAAGGAACCAAAATGTGACTAATAAAAAGAGCGCCAGAAGATAGATATATTTGAGATAAGGTGAAGGAGAAAAATGCTCCACATACAATGAACTGCTCAACGAACTAAACAAATTTAATTTTAAAACAAGACTCTACAACCTGTTTACAGCAAATTCTTCCGTTCAGAACAAAAATAATTACGAAATGCCCGAAGAAGAAAATCAAGGTATTGAGGGAAATCACGTTCTCAGTAATACGGTAAAGAAACAGAGAGTTGCAACAGACATTCAGCTTGTAAGCAATTAAACCGAAAGTAACAAGAAATAACAAGTACTGCAAGAGAAACAAATACAACTAAAAAAGAAAGTAAGGACAATCAAAATTAGGTGAATACATACTAATCTCAGCACTATTAAGACTAATCTCAGACTAACTATTCAGAGCAGCAGCATCTAAGATCAGATTAGCCATGATGATTGCCAACCTCCGTTGCGGAGATGGCACGTGAAGAAGAAGATACTAATCTTAAGTGGAGTAGCAAAAGAAAACAGGATGAAAGAAAGTGTAGCGTTAATAATACACCAAAGGTACCAAAATCAAATCAAAGAGTGTCAATACATATCATAAAAAAAAATCAAACCGAAGAATGTAAAGTGGTCTATAAACCACTTTGCTTCATTTAAATCTTCAGTGAAGGATGGGATATAGCAACCAGGATGTCTATCAATAAAGAAAATCAAGGGAAACAGCACTGGACGAGGTAGTTCAAAAAATCAATCATTCCATTAGTATTGGAGATATTGCGTTAACCGCCTTTCTAGATGCAGAAGACACATTTAACAATGTAATATCAAATTCTCTTTAAGATATCCACTTGTAGCCCAAGTGGATATCTTAAACTGGCCACCAAGTTGTAGCCAAAACAACTAAGGGGAGAGTGCTTTCTCCCCTCTTGTGATCACTTCTGGCGGATGACCTGATGACTCTGTATGGAGGAACTGTCAAAGAGGCGAACGAGTTCAAATATCTAAGAGTAATACCACAGAATACACCACCAACAAGAAGCGACAAAAGGACGATTTTCATGAACCAAATTTTTATGCGCATGCGTGAGGTCGGCCATTTTATAATATGTTTTAATGTCAAGAAGCTTTGGTGACGCTTGCATTTGTGCAGAATCGGCGTTAGTGTTTTTATTACCTTTGAACTTGGTTATTTTATAAAATTTTTCGGTTTTATTTGTGTTAAGTCAGGTTAAGTGTTAATTGACTGTTCAATCAAATGGCTACGGGCAAAGGAGGCTATTCGTGCATTTATCGCGGCTGTCGCACAAAAAGCGGAGGTGGTTTAAGCCTATTTTCAATCCCAAAAAATGAGGAAAGGTATGTAGCAAATTTATACATTTTTTGTCGATAGAAAAGTTTGTTTTGTATACATAATGGTAGTCCTACATATAGTGACAAATAGTCAAGCTGATAATCTAGCAGCACTATTGAATGCAGAAAGTGGAATCGGTATAAGTTCAGAAATCAAGAAAGTTATAAAAATAATTTAATCAATAAACAAAAATACTTTCAAGTTTCATATAAAAATAAATGTTGGTATATTTAATAAAAAAATATTAATATCTGGGTATTTTACATCAATATTCATATTTCTAATTTATTTTAAATATTTCAACTACCAAACACTCTCTGCATTCACTACTTTACTGCATTGATTAGTTTCCTTTAATCACTGTCTTATAGTTTGGACCAAAATGCATGTCTCTATACTACTACCTCTATATACTACCAACTCTAATCTCTATATACTACCAACTAAGTTGTAAATGTTCAGCATTTTAAACTCCAAATTTGATCTTACTGTATCCATAATTTATTACCTTATATTTCTATTTCAGGGCTGAGCACTGGTTAAGAGCTGCCAATAGGATAGACTTATTTGAAAAGGGTTTTGCAACCTTGCACAAACATTTTAAGTTGTGTGAGTTGCATTTTGAAAAAAAATGTATATCATATGGTATGGACAGAAAGTCATTATTTTTAAATGCTGTTCCTACCATATTTCATCATCTAAAGAGACGTCTAGATGGCCACATTTCATCAGATGAACATTCTCACCAAGGGTTAATTGATGAATGTAAGTATTAAACATTTAAACACAATATATAGCAATATGCAAACCAATGAAAAATAAGTATATTTAAATGAGACAAAAAATTAGTTGGTTGTCATCCTAGACATATTTTCTAGTGCCTAGCTTTAATATGATTCACTTTTTTATTTAACAGTTTACTGAGAAACTTTATTTCTATTGAAATATTGATTGCACTATAACAAATTTCTAAATTTTAGCTGCATCTTCAGAAGTTATAGAAAAGTTTGGAATAAAAGATGCTGAGCCAGCAATGAATGTTGAACATGAGATGGAAAGTTCAAGCCAACATGTTCAAATACAGCTACAAAGCATATCGGGTAAAAAATTTTAAACATTGTAAATATATAATTAAATTTATTTTCTAGTCAGATGTAACTCTCTATAAAAACCGTTATCTGAAATTTAAAATTTTGCCATTATGACTTAAAGGTTAGAAGGGTTACTTGTTATTTTGTGAAATATCATTTGTTCAAATAAAGTCTTAGAACAATATTACACCTTTTAATAGATTGGATTGTTCTAACTGAAACAATCACAGGCTGTCACATAACTGGCAACAACAGCCATAGTAAATTAAAACATCGACTAAGATTGTTGTTGTACTACACATCTAAGTTAATCATTGGCATAAATGATTAAACAAATGCTTTGTCCAAATTGGTAGAAAGAAAAAAAATTGTCAAAAATTTTACATTTGATATGAAGACAGACATATGACTTTGCAACTTTGAAAATACTTCAATATATTTTTTTTTAGGAGATAAGCCACTCCCAAATGATATTTCTACAACGTACATTCAACAACCTTGTGTCCTGTTACCATCCTCGGCATCAACACAGACATCCAGTATATTGAGTTCTCATACTCCAAGAAAAATAAAGCTTTATAAGAAGATCAGGTCTTTACGTTTAAAGCTAAATAAGGGCACTACAACACAATCACGAAAAGAAAAATATTCAGTTAGCGAATTTAATAAAATGTGCGATAAATTTTTAAATAAGCCCTTATCCCAGGTACTGAAGGCCCAAGTAATATTAGGAAGTAAAACACCGAAAACACGACGGTATTCCAAGGAATATAAGCAATTTGCTTTAACTTTATACTTTTTAGGTCCTAGGGCATATTCATTTATGGGTAAACTTTTATATTTACCATCAAAAAGAAGTTTACAAAGAATGACAGAGAATTTAGCATGCAAACCAGGTTTAAATAACGAACAAATTTTTGATGCATTAAAAAATCAAAGTTTCAACTATGATTGAACAGGATAAACATTGTACTATATGTATTGACGAAATGTCACTAAAAAGTAATTTATATTTTGATTTAGGACGGGACGAAATTGTTGGATTGTGTGATATTGGCAGTGAAAAGAAGAGTGGTCTTGTTGCAGAAAATGTTCTGGTTATTATGGCTCGAGGCTTGTATTCCAATTGGAAACAACCATTAGCCTATTTCTTTGTTAATACTAGCTTTGAGGCAGAAAAGTTGTGTCCTGTTATCAAGAAATGCATCTTAAAATTATTTAAATGTGGTTTGTATGTTGATTGTCTAGTCACAGATATGGGATCAAATTTTATGAAACTGGGTAAAATTATTGGGGGTCAGACCTGGTAATGCTGAATTTACTGTAGATGATAAATTATTATTTTATATTTATGACCCATGTCATTTAATTAAGGCTACCAGGAACAGTTTAATAAATAACATTTTGTGTTTTGATGGTTATAAGAAAACATCCTGGACATATGTGGAAGCATTCTATCGGGAGGATAAGGGAAATCAGTATAGGTGTGCCCCAAAGCTTACCAGCTCACACATATACCCCACAAATTTTGAGAAGATGCGAGTAAAACTTGCAACTCAAGTTTTAAGCCACACAGTTGCGAGTTCTATGAGCACATTTAATGGCACTAGGACATTTACCTGCAGATGCTCTTGGAACAATAGAATTCATTCAAAAATTTGACATTCTTTTTGATATATTAAACTCATTCGACACTGGTAATTCCAATAAATATAAAAATTGTTATGAAGGTTCAGCAATTCAATTAAATTATTTAAATTCAATGTCGAAGTTCATTCAAGAATTGAAAATATTTGACAAGAGTGGGAAAAATGTTACTTCTAGATCGAGTCAATGAAATGTTGGGTTATTACCATAGATGGGGTCAAAAAGTTGTGGACAGGCTACTTCATTTTGACTTCAAATATTTAAAAACTAGGAGGCTAAACCAAGATTGCTTAGAAAATTACTTTGGTAGCATTAGGCAACAAGGGGGCAATTCAATTAATCCTACTCCTATCCAGTTCCAAAGAGCATTTAAAAAATTGTTCTGTCAAAATTTTTTTACATTCCAATGCCATGAATTGCAAAGATGATTTGGACAAACAATTGATGGACTTAAAACCCAGTAACATCATTTGTACAGGTCAACAGGAAGAAATAATCCAGTAAGGGCTATTACACTTCCTGACTCAGATTATAAATATCAAAATATTACTAACCAAATGCTT